AAAATAGTGCAAAAGCACATGTCGAAAAAACACTTTATCGCGTTCCATTTTTCACAAAGCAAAAGAAATTGTTGTTTAGGAAAATAATTGTGTATGCTGACTGAATGTTATCGAGAAATGTCGAAATTAATCACAAACTACCTGTTTCGTTAGTAATGACTACTAGAACTGTTTGCATTGCCATCTAACATTTGCGGGCGGAAACTAAGTTAAGGTCCTAATATATTTACAGGGGCATAAGAAAAGAATCCGGCGCTGTCGCACACGGCGCAAAGTCGGCACGGTCCGGCACACATACACATGCTTTCCCGGTGTGCCATTTTGTGCCGTTTTATTTTTGTGCGGGATAGCGCGGCGAAGAGAAAAAGAACGGCGACGCGTGGAAGCGAGGAAGCGCGGCGCCACAAATAGACATTTCGATCTATAAAACATTTTCTTCCTAAAATAGCGTGTAACGGCTTTACACTGCCGCATGCGATTATCCATAAATACGACGAAGTCGCGCATGAAGTCGCGCGGCCGCGAAGTGCCGGGTCTCTTCGCCAAGAATCTGTTGCGTACGGTGGACTTAGGGGCGTGGTGCAGTCGCCGAAACTCTCGGCGGGAATCAGGGCGATCGTATGTAACACGCCGAAATCGTGCGGAAACAGTGGAATTTATGGACGCGTTAATTCGCTAACGCGTGATTTATCGCTCGTGCTCCGTGGGACTTTCTCCAGCTGTTACCCCGGCACGAACGCCGACGCGATTATTGATTTACGCGCGCCGATGGATCCGCGACACTTCAGACACGTCGAGCGTACATACGATGGGATACGTAATTTATATATCCGACCGCCAAGAGAGAGAAAGAGAGAGAGAGAGAGAGAAAGACTCGTCGTCGTACTTTGATTATAAGGCCGATTACGAGCCGCGCCAGATATGCAAGAACGAAGTTCAAGGGAAACCAGTAAAGTGTCACATGGTGCCTTCATCGGCCAAAGAAACACAGAGCTGTCTGAATGTCTCTCGTCGGCACGAAAGTGTCTCTCTTGAGAGATTTATGATACACTTTACATGTTTTTCACAGAGTGTTTTCTTTCTATGTTCATCGCGTGATGTATTATTAGCAGAAATTGGTCAGTATGTTAGGCAAATCGGCAAATCAATCGTCGAAATTAATTATTCGTCCTACACGCAATCACGAATAATTGAATCGATTGATGAAATCAATTATCAATCGGTGTACAATCGATTGCAGAGTTTGATTAATTTCGTGAATCGATGAAATTATTTATGATTTTATCCACGACGATCTTAATTAATTTTGATCATTGACCTGACGATTCTGTTAGCCAAGATTGTTTCAGTCAAAGAAAACTTAATTTAATTAATGTCCAACACTCTGAGGTTTGCCGTGTTGTCGAATAATAAAATTGAAAACGCAGTCGTCCAATTTTAAAGGATTGATAACTTTTAGATAATTAGATTAAAGCGCAAAGGTTAAGAGCTAACCAACAAACCTAAGCAATAAAAATATAAGACTAAATAACAAGTAAAATAACTTAACAGAAATGTATGACAATAAGAGAATTAATTAGCACTCAATATCAGTAATTCGGTCTTTAGTTCTATATATTGTTGTTAAAATAATTTTTACAAGCAAAAGCAATATTCATCCAAGGAGAACTTTGTTTTCCTCTTAACCTAATCCAAATTTTCTCCGAGAATTGAATAGAGGAACGATAAATACTTCGCGCCAACCTCAAATTTTCCCAATTAAAACAGCAGTCATAATTTATCGCATCGATCGCGAACTCGATCGATTCCCGATAGCTAATCAAGGAAACAAGGACGCCGCGATCGCGTTACTTGGATACCGCCTCGTTGAATGAAATCAATGAAAGTCCCGCGAGATGTCGAATTAAAATCACCAGTCACTGAAATACCAGAGGTTTAGGACGACTTAAATTTACCCGTGTCGCGCCGTTTCCTGCATCCGATGGGTCATGAGACGAGCTCTCTGAAAGGGAATACAGACGCGATTTTGCTACGCTTCAGGTATAGCTTCATTTCTACAAAGATTCTCAGGCCGATGGGAAGATTGAATAAACGATCGTGTTCGTGCACATGCGCAGAGAATTCGGAAAACTCGTCAAAATCCCCAGTAGGCATGCCCGCGAGGCGAACTCCAAAAATCGAGGCGTTGGTTGTGGACGCTATACGCAGGCTGCAGGATGTACAGGGCTCGTCGTCGCGGGAAATTAGCAACTATATTTCCCAAGAGTACGACGTGCCCGCAAAGGACATCAGACGGCAGGTCCAGCTCGTTTTGCAGCGCGGCTTATCCTACGGGATCCTTCGCAAAACGAATAGGTACGCGTTCGAGTCGTCGTCCTGTTTCTTCTTTATTGATGATATTTAACCGGATTAGGACTTTTCTTTCTCTGTTTCTCTTTCTCTCTTGCTCTCTTGTTCCTTTTCTCTTTCTGGGGTAACTTTGTGCTCTTCTCTGACTCACGTGGCTTCGCGCGTTTCGTAAACGTTCGGCACGGAGAGCCGCTCTAAACGAGTCACACGCGTAACACACCGGACATATTTACGATGTTGTTCTTCCTGATGGTATGAAACGAAAAACTCGCTTATCAATGCCAAGTGATAAAGTCGACGGTTCAAAAATAAAGCGCAGCAGATTAAACCAAGATAGCGAGCGACGTGGCCCATTTCGTAAAAAAATGTTTTGATCGGATCAATCAACGGGTATTTTCGTCCGGTGAGGTAACTGCGCGGGTTATATCCGGTTGATTTAACGTGAGGCACATCCGAGCAAAGATCTCAGATTTCACTCTACAGGTTGTCTGACCCATACATCTCGTGTACGTGTGAATTAGATCGAACTGAACACAATTTCCTCTACCACTTTGCAAACAATCGCGAAATTTTGAATTATTGATCAAAGGAAATTGATTACACGCAATATATGGCGGATGAGCTGTGACAGCGACGATTTTTGAGTTGTCAATTAACTGAAAAAGATCCGCGGATGATCGCACACACGATCATGCGCCAATGTTCTTTAATTAATCAACCAAAATTCTACGCGGTTATTTGCGAAATGGTAGAGGATTTTTTCTTCAGTTTGACGTAATCTACAAGCATACGACGGCACACAGAGAAAAATATCTTTCTACCGTCAAGAAAAGCGATTGCTGAGTTAATTTTTCTTCTTTAAAATAATGGTTGCCTTCAACAGAGAATATTTTCTTGATAATAGCCCTGAAATATATTCATTACAGATTCCAAAAAATTTCATTAACATATATTCAAGAAAAAAATTTATTCTCTTTACAAGAATACAAAACTCTGTCCAGAAAAATATTGGCTCAATGTTGATTAATTGAATGTTCTTGACTGAAATGCTAAACCTATTAGAGCTCAGAGTGTATTTTGAACAACTTTGACGTTTATGACGAGTTTACGATTGATCTGCGGATATACAAACCCGCGAAATACTTGAAGCAAATAACATTCATTCGAGTACAGTATTTTTCGTGTATTTCTCTGCGTGGAAACGTCGTTATCGCAATTCTCGTCCGCCATATCGCGCCGATCTCCTTGAATTAATGACTCAAAATTCTACGCGGTTGTTTGCGAAATGATAGAGGAACTCTGAGTCGAGTTCGACCTAATCTACGAGGTACGGCGCATTTTGCGTCAGACAGCCTGTACATTCCCCCCCGTGTTGAAGGGACTTTAGATCCGAGCTAACATTCGCACGATCAACTCAACTAATTAAAACTTCCGTCCGAACCGTCGTGAATTATGACACGATCGTTTCCCCGCGCTCGCAGAGGATATTACACGTGCAGTCGCGACCACCTCGGGCAGATACCGGTGGAGGATGAAGCGGGCGACGGAGTGATGGAGCCTTGTCCGGAGCACAGAAAAAAATGGAGGAGATATTGGAGGAGAATAAGGGAGAGGCGTAGACGGGCTAGGGAGAGATACAGAGCTCGTAAGCGAAAGCTCAGCAGACAGCGCACAACCCGAAGACGTCGGGCCGGGTCTCGAAGACGTCGAGGCAGGTCCCGAAGACGTCGAAGGACGAGACGAAGTCGAAGAAGAGGCGGCACAAGAGGAACGCGACGAAGGGCCGGGACGAGCCCCGATCCCAATGAGGCCGAAAGCGTCTCCCGAATAGAAACGGAGCAGCGGGGCAACGATTCCTCCGGGAACGAGGATGATCGAGGAAGCGGGCAAGCTCCGAGTCAGAACGAGTAACGTCCGCGAAATCCTCCTCGAAATTTCCAGTCCGCCAGCAAAGAGTTCGGACAAGCGAGGCAACCGATGAAAAATTATGCTTTTTCTGCTTTTTCCCTCCAGAGAGACAAGTGGAGTTGGTGTGTCCTAATTGTCGATTGACGACTCGCGTATCTCCTACTCGTGGTCACTCTGTCGGCATCTTGTTTCGTTTATATACGGATTTTTATGCACACGGCATTTTTTTCGCGGCATTCGTGAACCTTCAAGTATGGCCTACAATGCGCTCTTTGCTGTCTGTTTCTTGTTTTCTATCTTTCTCTGAGGTTTCAAAAGGAAATAAAGAAACGGGAAACAAAGAGCACATTATAGATGAAGCTTCATGGACGTGTGCAAATTTACGACGGTGGCGCCTCGTCGTCGCGAATCCCTACGCGAATCTTTGAGAACTCTTGTCAATTTATATATGTCTCTTGATTTTTGGATTACACAATTTGTTATTTTTCTTCGCGTGTTATATTCTCTCTCGGTATCCTTCGTTAGAGAGTCTCGCGCGACGCTACGCAACGTTGCCCGCAAAAAAGAGCGAACGGCACGACAGTCGAGATCAGTCGAAATTGCGTTATCGTGCTGAAACTCGAGCCTCCTGAGAAACATATGCTGGCTGTGCCGGGGGCTTCGCGTCGCTCGTCGACAGCCCTGAACACGGCCTTGCCGGCTAATGATAGTCGCGCTAATGACGAGTCCGCACACGCACATATGCGCGCCGCGTGACTATTTCGCCTAGCAACTCTAGGACTAGACGAGAGAGCCATCGCTGTGTTCGCCTTGCCAGCTGTGAATGATAAGTGCGTGCTCATCCAATGCGTACACAGCCGTCTCGGAACTCGTTGAGAAACGCGCCGATGTTCCTTCTCCGACTGACCGATCCGACTTTTAACTACTTATTTACGAGCATCCAGTCGATTCTTCGTGTTTCCCACCAGTATTATCCCGCTGAGAATGCTGGCCGATCTGACGAAAAGATTACTTTTTATTCCCGCGCAATCTCGAAAGCGAATCAGACCCTGCACGGAGAGAATTTTGTAGTAAAAGTTGCAAAGTAGAATATTTTACAGCCGAGAAATACTCTGCAGCGATTGAATATCCTTTTGTTTTTATATGTGCTACTAGACAATTCGCTATGTTGCTGGCGAAAAATTGGCAATATTTTCAGAAATTAATTGTTTCTTAGCAAAATAGACAGTTTATTCCTGAACTACTGGAAAATTGAGAGGAATTTATACATTGAAAGAAAAGAGAAATATCTAAAAAATAAAATATATTTCTTGGGTATTAATAACATATTTACTTATACATATATATTACGATGAAAACCCATTATTTTGGAATAAAAGAATATATTTTCTTAAAAAACCATAGCTCTTTTCAAGAAGACAATTGTTTATTTTATACAGAAAAAACACTCTCTTAGTACAAATAAATTTTTTATTACCTGGGAGTGTAATTTAGATGAAAAACTCGGTTGTAAGAACAAAAAAATTTTCTATAAGAGAGAGATTTTTACTCGTCAGTCAATTATTCTCACAAGTAAACCTACTCATTATTTGATAAATAATTTCTTGGTTTGGCCGAGATTCGAACCATTTTTGACTAATTTAGCACAGATTTGAAATATTTCGGTTGGAATCTCGGCTAAAGAAATTTAGAATGGCTCGTGTCTCAGTTATGCCGATTTTGTTAAAATTTTAATTAAAATTGCCGGATTTCTCGATTTGGCCGAGATTCGAACCATTTTTGACAAATTTAGCAGATTTGAAATATTTCGGTTCGAATCTCGGCTAAAGAAATTTAAAATGGTTCGTGTCCCAGCTATGCCGATTTTGTTAAAATTATTTAATTATATCTTGTATACAATTTTATTTATTATGCATTTTTGTTGTACTTATTGATGATAGGAATGAGAACATTAAAAAACTATAAACTGTCCGTGAAACTGAAAGTGGGCCAAAATGAAAAAATATGGTCTAAATATTTTTTGTACTTCTACATTTGTGTCAAATTAGAAAGAAATCGGAGTGTACCTTTTGGGTAAATTTACTTATCAGTTACTTTAAGCGAATTTTAATACAACTGAATATTCAGAAGAATATTTTTAGTCGCAGTGAGAGAACTATTATTTCTCATCAATGAGTTTTTCGTCTAGTTTCTATTTAGTTGCACAAACTGAGATTTTTTTCCCGTACTTTTGTATAAAGAAATTTAGATTTATCAAATAAGTATGTTATTAGTATCCAAAGAATAAATATTTTTTATTCTTTCTAGATATTCTTTCTCTCGGTGTATGAAAACAAAATCTATAATAATTTCTCCGTGTGTAAATATGTCACTCAAAACGAGCGAAAATTCACACAGTGAGGATATTGTCACAAAAATGAATATTTCACTCGACCTTTAAGTGGATTTTTTCTGGCTCCACCCGAGTGAACGTTTCAACTGATTGGAGTGAATTTGTTCCTGTGACAGTGGAATGAATCGAGTTCCCTCTTCAATTTCGAATGAGAACGTCCGTCGGACGATTCAGCGTGGAGAATTCACTTCATATGAGTGAAAAATCGCTGGAATTCGAGTGACTCCGGCTGTCAGTTCGCTTTTCGAGCGAAATTTCACTCCAAGAAATTGAAAGAGCCGCTCGTGTGTACGCGATAACGAAGGATCTTTTTATCGAGTTTAGATGTGCACGCACGCGATGAATTTATGCAAACTGTCATTCACGCCGTAAATGTCGAACGAGGACGGAATTGTCGAGCAATATTATCATATCGAGTCATTATGCTCACTTCGGTCAAAGGACAGTGAACCTTCGTTCCGCCGGGCGACCGAGCGACCAAGATCCGAGACGATCCCCCACAGACCCGTCGTCCGCGTACAATTCACAAGTAATTACGTAGAATTAATTCGATGGAGCAATCTCTCTGAACTGCATTCCCATCCCGCCGTATATTTACGTCTGCTCCGACGCGGAAGCCATATTTCGGTAACGGCGCAAAGGTTTCGCGTTCTAACGCGTACTGTTGCTATTTATACGATTGCATAAATGACATAATTGCTCTTTCTATGTTATTGTCTGACTGCTCCGCTCACCCTCGACACATATATTATCACGTTCCAATTTGAGCTTTCTTGAGTGGCTCTAACCGCGAGATTGATATCTCATTTCTATTATTTTTCTCAGAAGTCTTAAAAAACAAAATTATTTTATATATATATATATATATATATATATATATATATAATTAATGTAGTTTTATAATTACTTTAGAACGTGACTTTAAAAAGTCTACTATTTCGCAAACAATTACATGAAATTTTAAGTTATTAATTAAAGCAAATTAGTAACGTCTGCTTATACGTTAGATCAAACTGAACAAAAAACTCCTCCACTATTTTGCAAATAATTAGGCGTAGATTTTTAGTTATTAATTAAAGAAAATTACTGCATTATTGATGCAAAATCATGTACTGATCTTCTTTGATTAATAACTCAAACTATGTACAAGGTTATTTGAAAACTAATACAGAACTTTTTTCTTCAGTTTGACCTAATCTACAAGTATGTGACAACGAATGTCGCTATCACAATTCATCTGCCGTATCGCGTGTGACCGTTCGTCAATCATCTTCAATTAATAACTCAAAATTTTACACAGTTGTCTGTGCGAAATGGTATAAGAATCTTGTATTCATTTTAATATGTCCTACCTGCACACAAAAGGTGTGTTATAAATTGTCACACACCCTGTATATTAGATTTGCTGACTCTTACTTGCCTTCGTTCTTTCCTTACTCATATATCTCTATTTATCTGCTATATTTACTAAATCTATCTATCTATCTATCTACCTATCTATCTACATCTGCAATGAGAGAAAGAAAGATAGAGGGAGATAAAAAATACCTAAAAAATTCAAAATGTTGATTCGGTGGGTGCTAAATAACATGTTTACTTCAATCTAAATTATTCCATTTAAACAGAACAAACAATTGTTTAAAAAGTTAAGGTTTTCAGAAAAATCATATTTTCCTATTCGAAAAATATTTGATATTAATAACAATAATATAAAACAAGTAAATATGTTATTGGTGGCCACCGAACAAGCATTTCTTATTTCTTAGATATTTTTTTCTCTGAGCGCGCGTATCTATCTATTTAGGTCGATTGCATATCTCGAGAGCCTTTCTGAATTTACTTCATCATTTGATACTTCTCGCAATCGAATAAATTGATTCCTCAATTGAATTAATACCACGAGACGATTCACTGAGGCGTACAGTCAGCAGATGTCTAAAACGAGGAGTAATTTTCACGCGGATCGTTGCGAATCGCATTTCGCGACTTCAATTAATGTGCCGAGCTGGAGGATCGTCGATGCACAGTTCAACGCGCCGCCTGATTAGCGCTATTACCGTTGACATCGGACGACATTAATTCGTCGCGACGTCCTGTCGCCCTTTCAGGAACGCGAGAGAAAACGGGATGATCGCCTTCGCGGCGCGATCGTTTGAAAAACAGAGTGCCGAGAAGCGCGTCCGTCCGCCGCCGACGCAATAATGATCGAGTGACTTCATTAGCGTGATGAAGGGATCTTATCACGGGAGCCGATCGCCGTAGCACTCGTACATTAATTACGTATTTACACTTGTGTCGTGCGGCATCAATCGACGCGGCTCAGCTAAGGCAGCCAAACCGGTTCGGTTCGGTAGCTTTCAGTTTTTCTCGCGGAACGATAAGAATATCAAATAGGTATTCTCCCCGATATCTATATTCGTTATCAAGTCGAAGTCCATCAGAAAGTCGAAAATTGAACTAGCCGACCTCCCGATCAGTTTGTGCCGCCGATGAGGGAGCACGCTGAGTCCCCGCCAACTCGCCCACGGGAAAATCTGAAAGATCTAAGGCCGATTTTTCCAACCTCTCAATTAAACCAAACAATTAAGTCATATGTTCGCTTTTGTCTAATTTGAAGGAACAGCAAACGCAGACATATGATTTAACTGTTAATTGGTTTACCAAGAGGTTAGAAAAATCTGCGACCAATCGCGAAGGTGTCGTTTAACGCGAGACAAGCGTCGAATCGAGACTGATAGAAGGAGAAAAAGAGAAGAATAAGCGAGAGAAGACAGAAAGAAAACGAATGAGGGAGCGGGAGGGGGCCGTCGTTTCGCCGCAAAACCGAAAATACTCGTGTCGGCCGGTATGTTGAAACCTGGCATAAGTTTTGGCGGGTTGCCAGCAGAGCGGTACTCGCTTGTGGAGGCCACGCCAGGCCACGAGCAATCGGCCTCGGCAGCCCAAATCTCGAGCTAAAGGTAAAGGAGAATCGTCTCGACGGGAATCATCGCGGAGTAATTGCTCGAGTAATCTTTAACATTGCACGGAAAAAAGGCTGAATTAATCCGACAATGAATACACCAAACGTGTTTCCTGGCGGGAAACAGAATTTTTGATTTTCGCGAGGCTAAGTTAGATTCTTGATAACTAGAAATTCCATTTTTCACGCATTTCAAAATCAAGTACTCACTTCTAGTTCTTAAGAATCAAATTTGGGTTATAAAAACCTAAAATTCCGTTTTCTCCAATCAAAACGCACTTAGTTGTGCCATAGTCACGTTAATTCAATCAATTTTTTAAGAAACAAATTCGGTCTTTAACAAAAAAATCAGAAATCCTATTTCTTTCAAACAAAACAC